TAAACTGTGTCCATCCATACACTCATAATACTCTTGTGTGGCTTCCTATAAAAGCTCCTTTACTGTACAACTAAGCATATGAGGTTAGGCTTGATAAACTTGAAATATAAACCTGAACAACACTGCCCTCTTCAGGACACAAAAAGACAGCAAACCTCCCAACACTCCTGTGTGGTTACTTAAAATGCAAATAACTGAAATTAAGTTTTATTTAGGCTTACTATTTCCAACTTCTGCCAAACACAACTCCTGATGAAACAGGAGGGATGAAAAGAGAAAGCAAAGGAAAGAGAGAAAAACAGATGGCAAAAGAGAGAATAGAGTATTGGTAACAATCCTTGCCTGGAGTTCTTAATGTGGTTGTAGGTACCATTTCAATTCTGGAAAATGTACTGATCTCCTTAATCACACCATTTATAAATAAATTATATAGTTCACATTTTGTCCCAAGGTCAGATGAATAAATTGGTAAATCAATGTGCAGTAATCCAGTACTCTCAGAAAGAAATGCAACATAGAGATGTTATTTGAAACATCAACAGCCATTACTTGGTTAAAAAAAGAAACGTGGATGGAATACTGTGTAACAATCCGTAGTGCACTACTACTCAGTTACAAAATGTATAACATTTACCAAAAACAAAAGATATACCAGAAGCTGGACCTAGACGCACTGCTGTGTAGTGTTTCTCTTTCTTTGCTCTGGAATATATAAATAGCTGTTATCCAATAGCTCTATAGATGGGATTGTTGAGCAAGTTACATTCAATTTTCTTTTGTTTTAATGCTTTTCATTGTCAGCAAAGACCCCTGCATGTACTTTCATGTCCTAGTCCGGACTATTCATTAATATCACTTGTAAAGAGTGAACCTGTAGTATGGCCAAATAGTATTTTTGGACAAACCAAACATGTAGGAAGTACTCATATTGTATATCCTCACTTTCACTGGGGGGATTCTTAACTTATGGACACATTGACCTCCAACAGCTTTTCAAAACAAAGTAGTTATATTATGACATGTAAATTCAAATATTTAACAGTGATACTGCATCTGCTAGGGACACAACATATTATTATTATTATTATTATTATATTATTATCAGCCTGACCAAGGCCATAAGATTGGCCAAATTTCAAGAGCAAAGGTTAACATACAGATTTAGAAAGTACTGACAGTGACCAGAAAAGCTCACCTCTTCAACAACAAAAGGTATATCATTTATTTTATATATTTGACAATGTGTACAATCTTGGCTTTGGAATGTCACCCATGAGGAATAGATATCAAACACAGTCGATAACCAGGTTTCCATCACAGGAGCCCGCTGAGGGGAGAACGGCTCATAATAATCGCCCGGAACGGAGCAAACGTAATGGCATCAAACACCTGGAAACCATGTGTTTGATAACATTCCAATCATTCCGCTACAGTCATTAATACGAGCGTGTTCTCCCCAATTAAGGTGCTACCAACCTCCTGTGGTTTCCATCCAACCATTTCATGCGAATGATTTAGCGGATGCATGGAAAAAATGTCAGGACTGGACTGATTGAAATAAGAAATGCCCGTACAATTTTATTATAAATGTCGACAATTTGTTTGTTGGAGATAGTGGGATCTTTTGGTCGGTAAAATATATAATGCGAGAATTGGCGGTGGAAACGCCTTTATGCGCAAATATTGATAAAATAAACATAATGTAAACTTGGAGTTGCTCGATGACGTGTGGTCCTCCCACTACGATTTGGGAAAGCATGCAGTTTACTAGGCTACAGATTAAATAAATTATTAATTTAACAGGGTGGTGAAAGTGCACAGTGATGAGCTTGATGATCCTTTCCTTTCCATTAAAAATATCGAGGGTCTTATTATTGTGACATGATGATCGATGTTTGGCTGCCATTTAACAAATAATCCTTATCCATAATAATCTCATGTACCTAGCCTACCAGCGCTGTATCAAGACCAGAGTGGGCATATTTGCTATATAAAGCAACAGTTTTTATGACAAAACCATTAGTAGAGTTGAAAATGCGATGGAAACCCATTTAACTTGTAATTTTATTCGGTACATTTAACCGCAAAAGTTATTTTTATGTGCACTACATCATCACCAGTGGCTACCGGTCGTTTAGCTTAAAAGAATAATAATTATATTATCATTTTTTGCCTGTTTTGCATGTTATTTAGGCATTAATACGTGTCACATATCAGTTTGCAAACAGTGTAAAAATAATAATAATTGAGTTAATAAAGTCACATACAAACATGGTCTCTTTTTTTGCTTTCTTGAGTAAGGCAGCTCCAAAATGCAGATGTTTCAGCCTAGCTCAAGGCTTTTTGTGGTGGTGGGGCAGCCAGCGGAAAATACGGAGGGTAAGGGTTGGTAATGTTCTCTAGTTGCGTCAAGCCCCTTGGGTGCTGCCATAGAGTTACTTTAGAAGTGCCCATCCAAGAAGGCTCAAGGTCATTGGCCACAGATAAAATGATGTCAAATCACGTTATACAGTTGAAGTCGGAAGTTTACACACAAAAAAGCCAGACTAGGGTTAGCAACTGCACATGGGGACAAAAATCTAACTTTTTGGAGAAATGTCCTCTGGTCTGATGAAACAAAAATATAACTGTTTGGCCATAATGACCATTGTTATGTTTGGAGGAAAAAGGGGTACGCTTGCAAGCCGAAGACGAAGAACACCATCCCAACCGTGAAGCAGGGGGGGTGGCAGCATCATGCTGTGGGGGTGCTTTGCTGCAGGAGGGACTGGTGCACTTCACAAAATAGATGGCATCAGGAGGAAGGACAATTATGTGGATATATTGAAGCAACATCTCAAGACATCAGTCAGGAAGTTAAAGCTTGGTCGCAAATGGTCTTCCAAATGGACAATGACCCCAAGCATACTTCCAAAGTTGTGGCAAAATGGCTTAAGGACAACAAAGTCAAGGTATTGGAGTGGCCATCACAAAGCCCTGACCTCAATCCTATAGAAAATGTGTGGGCAGAACTGAAAAAGCGTGTGCAAGCAAGGAGGCCTACAAACCTGACTCAGTTACACCAGCTCTGTCAGGAGGAATGGGCCAAAATTCACCCAATTTATTGTCGGAAGCTTGTGGAAGGCTACCCGAAACATTTGACCCAAGTTACAATTTTTTAAAGGCAATGCTACCAAATAGTAATTGAGTGTATGTAAACCTCTGACCCACTGGGAATGTGATGAAATAAATAAAAGCTGAAATAAATCACTACTATTATTCTGACATTTCACATTCTTAAAATAAAGTGGTGTTCCTAACTGACCTAAGACAGGGAATTTTACTAGGATAAAATGTCAGGAATTGTGAAAAACTGAGTTTAAATGTATTTGGCTAAGGTGTATGTAAACCTCAGACTTCAACTGTATCTACCGTAGCTTTGATTGGACTGATCATGTCAACATCATACTTTCAAAATCTTAGCTAGCAAGCTAGACAAGCAGTCATCATGAATCAAGTCGACAATCTACTGGCAAATCCTTTAAAATTCTTGTCATATGAAGAGAAATTATAGATAAAACGTGTCGGTGCTCATCAGCCATTGGACATAAACATTACACAACAAGTTGGAAATCGCAAATTCAACAATGAGTGGTTTGTAAGGAATCAGTGGCTAACTGCAAGCGTTGCAAAGCAATCACTAGCTTGCTATTCAGTGGAGTGGGTGTGTGGTCCTAGTCTGGGTTTAAGGGTCTCTTTTCCAAGCTTAAAAGGATAAACGTTCAACAAGGGCAATAAAAGGTTGAATACATTGGCCATGCTGTCAATCCAGCAAACAACTGGAAACTCGGAACTGGGAAATCTCAGACTTCAGTGAGTTCACGACAACTGGGAACTCTGAAAAAATACAGTCATCCAACTCGGAATTCCAAGTCGGGAACTCAGGCCTCTTTCTAGAGCGCCGACCGGAAGATCACTGACGTCATGATTCGACCTTGTTTTTTTCAGAGTTCCCAATTGTCTTGAAAGCACCATAAATTCAGAGAATGCCCGACTTTGATGACAAAGTTTGATGACAAAATTTGCCCACAAGGAGGACCACCACACCACCTTCCTGTTCAAGTGAGCACAGCACAAGGTGAGTCCAAAAATGTATTTTATGCTGCTGCATAAATTATGTAATATGCCAGGGAGATATGTATACTGTAGCTAAGAAAGTAATACTAAGTGTATGTTGTGTAGTAAGCTGTTAGTAACCCATGTGCCTCACCCTGATAATTTGGTCCCTTTCCCCCTCATAACTTTGGATACTGTTCTGACTTGGTGGTGCACATGTAGGCTATAGCCTGTTTTAGAGAAATGTCATCATTGAATTTTGTAAGAGCTGCTTATATGCTCCCTTTATTTATCCTACGGTTCTGACTTGGTGTACAGGGTGAATACTGTAAGAACGGCCCATGTTCTGAATTCTGTCGCTGTACATTTCAAAAGTGCTGGAAAAATAGTTATATAGACTACATCCGTCCTAGCTCGCTCATTAATGTCTTAATCGAAATTACAGATTGCCTCTTATCCGCTCGTCGTCCCCCTTATGCCAGTTTGTACATCTCAATTGTCAGTAGAAACCACATTTGTTTAATCAAGTCAGCCATTTCAGCTATGTTTTTAAAAAAAGGCAGTAAATGAGGCTGAATGAACTGTTTCGCTGCTAGACAAGGCTCCGCTGATAGCCAGGTGTAGCAGTGGTAAGGATTCACTCCATGGTGCTGAAAAGAAAGCTCTGCTGTTGGGACAGCTTTATGCAGGCCCTAACAGTTTGTGGGCACAGTTTGTTACCATTATAGTGCAATTAATGTATTGTTTAGTGTTGTGTAGTGGCTTTACTGGCATGCCCCACCAAGATTTACAAACTAAAATCGCCACTGATCATCACACACAGCCTTGCTTTTATACGCAATAAGTCTGTTTGATGGAAACACATCTCTGGTGGGAAAATGTGCATATTGTTTTATGCAGATTTTAGAATATTGGCATGAAAATCTGTCACCAATTGGATGGAAACCTAGCTTGTGTACGAAATGACACAATATTCCTTTATTGTGCACTACTTTTTACCAGTGTAATATGGTGCCATTTCATACGCAGACATTTAACTGCATGTCTAGATATTGTCCATAGAACACTTTGAAACAGTCATCCTAAACTATTAAATATCACTGGCAAAAGAATATCTGGTGATTGAAGAACAAGGTCAACCCAATTGACCCATACAAGAAGCAGGTGGCCTTCACATCCATAGCCATCTTCAGAAGAGTGGTCTGGAGCTTAAGAACGCCTGGAGTCACTCACTCACGGCAACTCCACAGTCCTCCTATCTCCTGAACCTTCTCTTCTGTTCTGTACATTCAACGGCCTTGACTCTGGCCTTGGTGTTTGAAGTCAGTAAACAAGGAAGGTAAAAAAGATTCAGATTTCTTGCTGTGAAACCATAGTCTCTGCGCCCAAAAACAATCATTTTGCTTTATTCATCTGGCCAGGTCTTGCAAGCCCCTTGAAGACGTGAATCTTCCCAGCACCGGTTAGCTCAAAGCTGTAGTCCGTTTTGACGTAGGGAGTCTCTCCCGCAATTCCTGTCTGTAACAGAAAGAAGATAAAGCAAGGATATGTAGCAAGAATGAGTGACTGAACCAAAACAACCTGATAGCTAAAGGCTGAAACCGACACAGAGGAACAGGACAGTCCTGCAAATATTTGAATGGTTGGGTTTGGGCAGTTGTGATTTTGCAGTTTTTCATGTATATGTTTAATAATAGTTGATATTTGAGTGTCAAAGTCAAACAAAGACATCTTACAGATGATTGAGGAGCGGAGAATACAACACTGCAGTGTTTAGATTGCTTAATGTTTGGGATGTATCCTCTTGTCTTACCTGCCCTGTGAGGAGGATGTTGGGCAGTGTGACAGCACCCAGCAGAAGACAGTTGACCTGACGGAGGACTGAGGGAGCTACAGGTGTAACCAGGAAGTACAGTCCACGTGCCATGTCCACACCCCGAAGGACACCTGCAGAGAACAGAGGGAGATCCTCAACTGCATACTCCTCGCATCCTCTCTCCTCGCCTCCTTCTCAAAACCCATTGGAGAAGGACCTCTGGATTTCTCATCCAATGGGTTTTGAGAAGGAGGCGAGAGGACGCGAGGAGAATGCAATTAAGATTCTCCCAGAGAGAAATGCAATTTAATATATTACCCACACCTTAGAGTTTTGTTATCCCTCCCTCCAAACATTAATTCAATGAGTTATTAATCCATGATGGGGAGATGCCAAACGGTATTACTGTTCTGGGCTAAATAGATGACAGTTGTCCACACAGAACAGTGACAGACTATAACATGTCAGAGGAGGCTGGTGGGGGGAGTTATAGGAGGACGGGCTCATTGTAATGGCTGGAATGGAAGATAATAAATTCCATTACAATGAGCCAGTCCTCCTATGGCTCCTCCCACCAGCCTTCTCTGTTACGTGTATGGGTAATGGGCATAGACCTACAGTACCAGTCAAAAGTTTGGACACACCTACTCATTCAAGGGTTTTTCTTTATTTTTACTATTTTCTACATTGTAGAATGATAGTGAAGACATCAAAACTATGAAATAACACATATGGAATCATGTAGTAACCAAAATATATTTTATATTTGAGATTCTTCAAAGTAGCCACCCTTTGCCTTGATGACAGCTTTGCACACTCTTGGCATTCTCTCAACCAGCTTCACCTGGAATGCTTTTCCAACAGTCCTTCACTCTCAAATAAAATAAAATTTTATTGGCCACATGCGCTGAATACAACAGGTGCAGACATTACAGTGAAATGCTTACTTACAGCCCTTAACCAACAGTGCATTTATTTTTTATAAAAAAAGTAGAATAGAACAACAAAAAAGTGTTGAGAAAAAAAGAGCTGAAGTAAAATAAAATAACAGTAGGGAGTCTAGATATACAGGGGGGTACCGGTGCAGAGTCAATGTGCGGGGGCACCGGCTAGTTGAGGTAGTTGAAGTAATATGTACATGTGGGTAGAGTTAAAGTGATTATGCATAAATAATTAACAGAGTAGCAGCAGCGTAGAAAGATGGGGTGGGGGCAGTGCAAATAGTCCGGGTAGCCATGATTAGCTGTTCAGGAGTCTTATGGCTTGGGGGTAGAAGCTGTTGAGAAGTCTTTTGGACCTAGACTTGGCACTCCGGTACCGCTTGCCGTGCGGTAGCAGAGAGAACAGTCTATGACTAGGGTGGCTGGAGTTTTTGACAATTTTGAGGGCCTTTCTCTGACACCGCCTGGTATAGAGGTCCTGGATGGCAGGAAGCTTGGCCCCAGTGATGTACTGGGCCGTACGCACTACCCTCTGTAGTGCCTTGGGGTCGGAGGCCAAGCAGTTGCCATACCAGGCGGTGATGCAACCGGTCAGGATGCTCTCAATGGTGCAGCTGTAGAATCTTTTGAGGGTCTGAGGACCCATGCCAAATCTTTTCAGTCTCCTGAGGGGGAATAGGCTTTCTTGGTGTGTTTGGACCATTATAGTTCATTGGTGATGTGGACACCAAGGAACTTGAAGCTCTCAACCTGTTCCACTACAGCCCCGTCGATGAGAATGGGGGCGTGCTCAGTCCTCTTTTTTTTCTTCCTGTAGTCCACAATCATCTCCATTGTCTTGGTCACGTTGAGGGAGAGGTTGTTATCCTGGCACCACACGCCACTCTGCGGTCCAACCCATCCCAAACCATCTCAATTGGGTTGAGGCCGGGTGATTGTGGAGGCCAGGTCATCTGATGCAGCACTCCATCACTCTCCTTCTTGGTCAAATAGCCCTTACAGAGCCTGGAGGTGTGTTGGGTCATTGTCCTGTTGAAAAACAAATGATAATCCCACTAAGCGCAAACCAGATGGGATGCCGTATCGCTGCAGAATGCAAATCTGGCTCAACAGACCAAAGGACAGATTTCCACTGGTCTAATGTCCATTGCTCGTGTTTCTTGGCCCAAGCAAGTCTCTTCTTCTTATTGGTGTCCTTTAGTAGTGGTTTCTTTGCAGCAATTCGACCATGAAGGCCTGATTCACGCAGTCTCCTCTGAACAGTTGATGTTGAGATGTGTCTGTTACTTGAACTCTGTGAAGCATTTATTTGGGCTGCAATTTCTGAGGCAAGTAACTCTAATGAACTTATCCCCTGCAGCAGAGGTAAATCTGGGTCTTCCATTCCTGTGGCGGTCCTCATAAGAGCCAGTTTCATTATAGCGTTTGATGGTTTTTGCGACTGCACTTGAAGAAACTTTCAAAATTCTTGAAATGTTCCATATTGACTGACCTTCATGTCTTAAAGTAATGATGGACTGTCGTTTCTCTTTGCTTTTTTTAGCTGTTCTTGCCATAATATGGACTTGTTCTTTTATCAAATAGGGCTATCTTCTGTATACCAACCCTACGTTGTCACAACACAACTGATTGGCTCAAACGCATTAAGGAAAGAAATTCCACAATTTAACTTAACAAGGCACACCTGTTAATTGAAATGCATTCCAGGTGACTACCTCATGAAGCTGGTTGAGAGAATGCCAAGAGTGTGCAAAGCTGTCATCAAGGCAAAGGGTGGCTACTTTGAAGAATCTCAAACATCAAATATATTTTGATTTGTTTAACACTTTTCTGGTTACTACATGATTCCATGTGTTATTTCATAGTTTTGATGTCTTCACTATTATTCTACAATGTAGAAAATAGTAAAAATAAAGAAAAACCCTTGAATGAGTAGGTGTGTCCAAACCTTTGACTGGTATTGTATATATACTTACCAAAGCCCACACAGGGACAGACAGGGGTTTGGGAGATCAGAACTGGGCCTGCCCTGCCTGATACCTTCTCATTCAGACAGCACAGCCCCACCAGACTGGCATTGGCAGTGTAGAGCACATGAGTTGGTGCCACCTCACAGTGCGTCACACCCACAGCCACTGCTGAATGGGGAACCTGCATGGAGAGGACAAGGGAGGGACATAGTGGAATTAGTATATTAGAATATTCTAAAAGGTAAAAATATTACAGACTTGAATCATATGCTTATCATACACAGATATTAATAAAAGTGATTTGGCGCGTGCAGGTCGGCAGAACACCGCACTTATCAATTACATCATCGCTACAGAGTGTGGCTACATTCTTCTCTAAAAGTTGTTCTGATTTCTTACCTGGTAGGGGGTGAAGCCGTGCAGGGGTCTGACGGAGCCTGGTTCAGGGGACTGCAACTGGCTGAAGTAGCCCAGCAGAGCCAGGTCACGCTGCTAGTTGCTACGCTGGTGTCTCCTGTGGAAGAAAAACACACACCAGGGGGGGAGAGAGAGAGAGAGAGAGAGAGAGAGAGAGAGAGAGAGAGAGAGAGAGAGAGAGAGAGAGAGAGAGAGAGGTGAACTCAGAGAAGTAGGGCAAGAAAATCTCTGACAAAGGCTTATACATCAGCTTAATGAACAAGTGATACTGGCAAGTGCAAAGTGGGTTTGTCTTTTCTCTAAAGAAAAGGGCAAGTATCTTCCTTCAGCAGAAAAATATATATCCATGGCAACCAAGAAAGCTGTTGTCTTGTTAGGACTCTTACATTTCGCCCGGGCGCCCCGCTCCTTCAAACTCTGAGTGAATACCGAATAGAGTGTAACTCCACTGGGCAGGATGGGTTCCAGAGTTGTCCTCCCCCAGGGCTGACTGGGCAGGAGGGTGTGTCTGCCAGCCATGTGATGACCTCAGGAACTCAGGGGTGAGTTGGGGGCACATTACTTTATCCCCACTACTGAGCTGCACCACGTGAGAGACGGAGCAGAGGCAAATGATGTCCACCAGCAACTGAAAGCCAAAACCTGAAGAGGCAGACACATGTTAACATGTCAGTATAAAAAATTCAACAAAAAAGTATGAATTACTAGGCATTATTTATTTGTTAACATGTGTGCTTGCTTTCCCCCCTTTTTGAGGATTGGGCGAAACATGAACATGACAGTTTGTGACAAATGTAGCAGTTTTGTCCCCAGGTTGCCAAGAATACTGCGTTACTGACCTTTGACCCAGCCCATTGTGTTGATGACTATGGGCGTCTCTCCTTTATACAAGCGCCACAGGGACTTGAGAGACTCCAGATAGCGGTCCAGGTCTGTTTCACAGGACGACTGGCCATAGAAGATCATGTGCTCTGGGGCCCACTGGTGTGTGAAGGGGGGCCCTGGAAACCACAAGACAGACAGACAAGGGTTCAATAGGGTTAGTTAAGACCCCAAACATTTATAGAACCAATGACAATATTGGGGATATGCAAGTAGTTCAAGTGCATTTGCCATTTGAGTAATGAATGCATTGGAAATCGTATTCATTGCACTAAAATGTATTGCACATGTGATTGTGATGGAAGGCAGTACAGTACATACCCAGCAGTGGCTCTCTGACAGTAGATAGGGAGAGACAACATGAGGGAGTGAACTCTGTCTGGCCCAGGTCACACTCCAGGTATTCTACACTTGCAGTGCTGCGCACACACACGCACAATGACACACACACACTGGGTTATTGCTATGGGCATTGTATCACTGCATAACCTTTCAACCAAATAAACATAAAGTAACAAACACACTACTCACTGGTTTAGTAAGGTATTGATAAGGTGACAGTTGAAGGTGGACTTCCCAATATTCTTAGCACCACATACTAGAATAACTGGACAGCCATCTAGCTCCTCTGTAGATGGAAAATAACAACAGTCAATAAGTCATCCAGTTAAAACATCTCAGTATCCCTCATGTGGAATACAAGTTGTATTATACAACAGAAACGTTGTGGCGAAATCCTGCACGGAGCCTTCACCGTGCGCTGCCACTTTAAGAGCGCATCAGTAGTCAGGAAGGAGGAAATAAAGATAGCTCTTCCAGCTCTGTGTGGGGGCTCTTGGTTGGCGTGGCGGTTTTGACAGTGTGTGCAACTCTTTGCAGAAGTCATGTTTATTTTCAGCGTGTTTAGTTTGTAAAGTGTTGAAGTCAATCGCTGGTGTTACCGCTCAAAGTCGTGTTTGAATCGCTCTTGTCATTGATCGCATGGATTAGTAGCAACATTGTTGCGAAGCTTTGACAAACAAACCAACAGGTGTATCAGACGGACAGACAGTGCAGCTGCAAGCTTGAAGTCAACAGCTACTCCCGTGTACACCTGTGTCACGGCTGGGTCCGCCCCTATATATAGACTCCATGGCTGCGACACACGTTCTCTACATCATTTTTGAGGCGCCTCTAGCACCGTAGAGGATTGGAGTGATCCATATAGCTCACATAACCGTGGTTACATACATAACCTTCATTATGTTTCACTATATTGGATCACTCCAATATATTGGTATACCCGTACCAGATTTAGTCGGTGCTAGAGGGACCTGGCCAGCCAGCGGCGAAGTCTCAGCGTGGAACCGAGACGCAGGGGCCGTCAATGTGGAAGGGGGGTTCCGGCACAGTCCCCAGAAGGGGAGGCGACGCCCAGGACCGCTGAACCAACCGCAGAGGGAGGTGCCACATTTACCCGATAGTACCTAGCAAAGGTGCAAGAGGAAGCCCAGCTGGCCGCAGCACAGATATCAGCTCGGGGCACTCCTCTCAGTAGATCCCAGGACGCAGCCACACCTTGTGTTGAATGTGCCAACACAGATCCCAGCACTGGCCTGCCAGCCAGGTGGTATGCTGTCGTAATCGTGTCCATCATCCATTGAGAGAGCCTCTGCTTTGATAGCCCAGCCCCCAGGACTCTTTCACCATAGCAGACAAAGAGCTGGTCTGTTGTTCTCACTGACCGTGTCCGCTTCACATAGGCAGCCAGTGCCCGCACAGGGCACAGCATGCCGGAGGGTGGCCCAGACTCCCCGTAAGCAGACAGGATAAAAGGGATGTTCACATGCCTGTCTGACAGAGCCTTTGGGAGGAATGAAGGGTTGGGCGGCGAGGTATACTCCTCCCACGACGTCCATCCGGTAGCACTCAGAACTTACCGAAAAAGCATGGAGCTCACCCACCCTCTTCATGGAAGGAATCGCTACCAAGAAAACCCCCTTCATAGAGAGGTGTTTCAGGGAGGCAGACTCCAACGGTTCGAAAGGCGGCTTTGCCAAAGCTGCCAAGACCACATCCAGATCCCAGCTCACCATAGAGCGGATCCTAGCTGGACGCAGGCGACGAACCTCCTTCATAAACCTGGAGACCAAGGGATGGCGCCCCAACTGGCCTGTCCATCCAACCCACATGGCAGGCAGATATAGCGGCCAAATACCCTCTCAGTGTAGAGGCTGCCAAGCCCTCATCCAAGCAAGACTGCAGGTATTGGAGGACATACTGTACCCCGCATGACTCGGGCACAACCTCAATACCAGTGCACCAAGAGCAGAACAACCGCCAGCGCAACTGGTATGCCGCGGTTGTAGCCGGTGCCCTTGCGCTCTGCATGGTGTTCATTATGCCCTCCTGTAGTCCTAACATGGACCATTGGTGCCGTTCAGCGGCCAAGCCCACAGACTGAGGCGGTGCGGTCTCGGATGCCACAGAGTTCCCCCGGCCTGAGACAGCAGGGAGGCAAACAGGTCCACCTGTGCCCTCCCGAACTTGTCCCACAGGTGCTGCACCACCTGGGAATGTAGGCTCCAGTCCCAAGGTGGCGGGCCCTCCCTCAAGACCATATCCGCTGCCACATTCAGGATGGCAGGTACGTACATGCGCTGCGCATAGAGATGCTAGACGTCCCTGAGCCCAGAGAAGGCGCTCCCGTGCCATAAGGAGACGGTGGGTCCTCAGTCCACCCTGATGGTTGATGTAAGCCACCACTGTGGTGTTGTCCATTCTCACCAGGACATGTCTTCCCTTCAGACATGGAAGGAAAGACCGCAGGGCCAGCAGTACAGCTCGGAGCTCTAGTGTATTGATGTGCCTGCCGCTCCAAGGGGGTAACCAACAGCCGCTGGCTGACCTGCCGTTGGTCACACCCCCCCAGCCGATCTTGGAGGCGTCTGTGTCGACAAGCTCCCGGGCAGCACATCCTCAGCATCTCCACCCCACCTGAGAGAAAGGAGCGACAGCGCCACCTCAACAATGCCCTGAGGCACTGTGCGGTCACCCACAGCTGGCGGTGGCGCTTCGGGTGCAGCCGGTGGGAGTTGAACCACCGTTGAGGAAGCCAGAGATGGAGCAGGCTCAGGGGAATCAGCAACGAGGCCGCCGTCAGCAAGCCCAACAGGCATTGGCAGGTCAGGGCGGATACCACCCGCCCCTGCCGAAAGTGGTCGAGGCAAGATAAGATCGCCTGATCCCTGATCAGTCGCAGGTTCCGCCCTATAATCTCCCGGAGGCAGAGTGACTCCGCAACATAACTCCATGGTCCAGTCTCTGCTGTGAGTCGGAAGCGTCGCCTGGCAGAGGTCCAGCTCTCCTGCAAGGCCTCGCGGAACTCAGCAGAGATGGGGACAGATGAAGAGTCATCACTGTCCACCAGTTTGATGTTCAGTGCAGTGGCTACCCGAGTGAGTAGGCTCCTCATAGCCTCTTGAGCCGCTGGGTGCGATGAATGACAAAAAAACAGCAACCAGGTAATGGATTTGATTTATTTGTGTTTTTGTTTTACGCCAACTGCAATATTACCTAGCCGGTTTAATATCCAAGCAGCAAAAACAGCACCATATGATGGAGTAACTCCGTTAAGGAACTCCAAAGTTAATGTCTCAACGTAGTGGAAAGCCCTTGACGATACTCTTACACTCTGCAGGGGAAAGAACAAGAAAAAACCCTGCAGGGTAATTAGCAGAGAACTCGCGACTATGGCGCGGGGAGCAGCATGTTAAAACAATTCACAACACACACATAGAACAAGCCAGTCGGCAAGTTGTGTAAGGTAAATTACAGTTTGTGCAGCGAGAGCCACCATACTTGTGCAGCGAGAGCCACCCGGACGCTTATAAGAAATCCCGCTATGCCTTCCGACGAACCATCAAACAGGCAAAGAGTCAATACCGGACTAAGATTGAATCGTACTACGCCGGCTCTGACACTCGTCGGATGTGGCAGGGCTCGAAAACTATTACAGACTACAAAAGGAAGCACAGCCGCGAGCTGCCCAGTGACACAAGCCTACCAGATGAGCTTAATCACTTCTATGCTCGCTTCAAGGCAAGCAACACTGAAGCATGCATGAGAGCACCAGCTGTTCCGGATGACTATGTGATCACGCTCTCCGTAGCCGATGTGAGTAAGACTTTTAAGCAGGTCAACATTCACAAGGCCGCAGGGCCAGACGGATTACCAGGATGTGTACTCCGAGCATGTGCTGACCAACTGGCAAGTGTCTTCACTGACATTTTCAACATGTCCTTGACTGAGTCTGTAATACCAACATGTTTCAAGCAGACCACCATAGTCCCTGTGCCCAAGGACACTAAGATAACCTGCCTAAATGACTACCGACCCGTAGCACTCACGTCTGTAGCCATGAAGTGCTCTGAAAGGCTGGTCATGGCTCACATCAACACCATTTTCCCAGAAACCCTAGACCCACTCCAATTTGCATACCGCCCCAACAGATCCACAGATGATGCAATCTCTATTGCACTCCATACTGCCCTTTCCCACGTGGACAAGAGGAACACCTACGTGAGAATGCTGTTAATTGACTACAGCTCAGCGTTCAACACCATAGTGCCCTCAAAGCTCATCACTAAGCTAAGGATCCTGGGACTAAACACCTCCCTCTGCAACTGGATCCTGGACTTCCTGACGGGCTGCCCCCAGGTGGTAAGCGTAGGTAACAACACATCTGCCACGCTGATCCTCAACACGGGGGCCCCTCAGGGGTGCGTGCTCAGTCCCCTCCTGTACTCTCTGTTCACCCATGACTACATGGCCAGGCACGACTCCAACACCATCATTACGTTTGCTGACGACACAACAGTGGTAGGCCTGATCACCGACAACGATGAGACAGCCTATAGGGAGGAGGTCCGAGACCTGGCCGTGTGGTGTCAGGATAACAACCTCTCCCTCAACGTGATCAAGACAAAGGAGATGATTGTGGACTACAGGAAAAAAAAAGAGGACTGAGCATGCCCCCATTCTCATCGACGGGGCTGTAGTGGAACAGGTTGAGAGCTTCAAGTTCCTTGGTGTCCACATCACCAAGAACTATCATGGTCCAAACACACCAAGACAGTCGTGAAGAGGGCACGACAAAGCCTAATCCCCCTCAGGAGACTGAAAAGATTTGGCATGGGTCCTCAGATCTTCTACAGAAGTTCTACAGCTGCACCATCGAGAGCATCCTGACTGGTTGCATCACCGCCTGGTATGGCAACTGCTCGGCCTCCGACCGCAAGGCACTACAGAGGGTAGTGCGTACGGCCCAGTACATCACTGGGGCCAAGTTTCCTGCCATCCAGGACCTCTATACCAGGCAGTGTCAGAGGAAGGCACACGGAGTCGTAGTGTAACGCTAACGAAACACAAGTACGACAAACCACAGGCGGAAGATACAGATCAACCGCGCGCAGCGAGTGGAGCACTCAAAAGGAGGGGCTGGCCATGTTGCCAGCTGGTCCAGGCTGCAAACAGCCAGTGAGTATACTTCCACGCAAGATATTACACTTAACAGTGACTTACCAAGCGAACTTCAGAAAGTTTGTACCTCAAACCATACGGACGTCCGCCGAGAAAATGAAAGAACGTGTGTCGCGGCCATGGGGTCTATATATAGGGGCGGACCCCAGCCGTGACACAGGTGTACACGGGAGTAAATCTGTAAATCCTCACCTCGGATGTATCCCTCCACCGCGGAGTGATACTAATATATTGGAGTTATCCACTGGATGGTAAAACAGAATATTGCAAATTCTCTAAGGTTTATGACTGGGTTCTTTCTTGTCAATAGTTTCTATGAAGTTGCCTTTGAATTCCTCTGCCATTATTCTCATATGAGATATTATTGGTTGGGTTGCCATTGTGCTGTAACGTGTGTTTTAGATGGTGTGTCTTATCCTTTCTCTCCACTGGCAATCTGGCAAAGAGGCTACCCTCTAGGCAGTCTCTTCTGCTGATGTGTGTGTGTGTGTGTCTGGTAGTGGTACTCTATCTATCCTACTCTTTTCCTTTCGGCAGGGTTAATACCTGCCTGCCCCCCAAACAAAAATCTTCATCTTTACCCCTCTAACAATACCGCTACAACGTAACATGCTTGTCTATAGAAAAGGACTGAAGGGGACCTGTTTATCATGTTAAGATAGCAGGGCTGTGTGTGTGTTTACCTCCACAGGCGTTAACCAGGCTGCTGAGAGCCTCCCTGTAGGTCTGTGACATCACCATGCCTCCGGCTGCTTTCCGTAGTGGGGTCATGCCAACGCCAGAGAGCGGTGTGTCCAGCATGGCTGAGCTGTCTCGGATGTCTCTCTATCAATCAAATAAATCAAATGTATTTATAAAGCCATTTTTACATCAGCAGTTGTCACAAAGTGCTTCACAGTAACTCTACAAATAAGAGGCGTGTACAATAAAAGTCTATATGAAAGGGCTGTAGATAGATGGGACTGTCAGTGTCAACCCACTGAACTGAGTCCAAACAGCTCGTTGAGGTCTGGGAAACTGGTGAGGAACCGCGTCAGAGGGGTATCCAGGGGCTCCAGCAGGATCACACTGGAATCTGAATCTACTTCACTAAACAGCCTCTTACGAGTCTCTAAACAGAACACAAAAAATTAAGATTGGAGCAACCTTAAAGAGCAGCATTTAAACGCAAAACAAAACAATTTACTGATTCAAGGGTGATCTAACTAGGCCTATAACTGTAAACAATCACTAAAAGAAGGCAGCTGAGGAAAGTATCATGCAAATAATTTCAAGGGTGCATGGTGTCATTCAAAGGCTCTCCTTACCTGAGAGGTACTTGCGGACAATGGCTTTGGCCACTAGATGGCTTTCTTGGTCTTGCTGGGGTTAGGGGAGTCCCCCAGTGCTGTGAGGGTGAGGGGGAAATGTGAGGAGGGGGAGAACAGCGGGTAGGACTGCTGACCCTCCTCAATGGTGAAACCATCCACCTCCACCCGACCGTACATAAATGATAGAAGGCACTTCCCCCTAAAACACAGGGTCTGCAGAAGAAAGAGATGAAGATGATTTATATAACTTTAATCCCACAGCATGGCCAAATTAATAATACCATGTAAGAAACAACACTGATGGTATTAGTGAAAAAACATCAGAGCAAGTAGCTTATGGCAGGGAGTGTAGTTGCCACTGAAAAGTCAAAAGTGTAGCCTAAAAGCCTGTGCACGTCCCTGACCCTGTTGCATCACCAGCACTGTGCGATTTTGGACGTGGTCTCGCTCTGCAGTGAACGAAAGCCGCCTCCTCTATCCAGCCAGGTGCTGCTTTGGCTGAGACAGAACTCTCCTGGCCGTCCATACGCTCTCCATCACCATTCTGATGTAGAACAGACTTGGCAAAGGAGCTCCAGTCTTGGGACTTGCCTGAGTCAATGCCCTGCTCTGAACCACCTACTCCCCTGTTGGTCAGGGGGTGAGTGGGGGTCCCCCCCCCCCGTGTCCGCCAGAGCCTTGACCTGTCTGAAGCACATTGCCTTGGCCTCCTTCAGTCTCTTCAGGTTATCCTGGTCCTTTCTAAGGTTAGATGCCTGGTGCTCTAGCTTGACCATGGCAGTGCTTGGGCTGAGGTTTGAAGAGTCTGAGTTGGGGATTTTGTTGGGCTTGAACCACTTGTCCTTATAGTGTTGCCTCATGGACATCTGCTTGGGATTGGATGGAGCTTTGTGCACTTTCATGGTACCTTATGGCTTTCCTTTCGTAAGTATGATGAATATGGGGGAAAATAGTTCAAAATGAACACAACAACTAATGCAATGGGCCAGCATCTAGCTATATGTACACACTACTAGGCTTTATAGTTAGCTAGTAAGCTAACATTGATTGTTGTTAGTGTAAATAAAACGTTAGCTGGATAAGTTATCTAGATGGCCAACTTTACTCACTAGCTACTGTTAGTAACATAAATTGAGTTTCTTAGTTAAGGTGAATGAACACAGATGCTGCCCAATACTGCAGTGGTCAACGAATCTCTGGCTAGCTAGCCAACTAACATAACGTTACAGGTAGCTAAGGTTAGCTTAGCTAACTAGCCAGCAAACGTTATTGTGATATCTTACACCCGATCAGCAAGACAGAAGGTTGGATACCAAACAGTACCTCTCCGTAGATTCTCAAAAAGATGCTCGACGGTCCTCTATAGCTAAGAAATGCAAATCGGGTTGACACATTGCTTTATTATTAACTAACAAAACGGTTTCACCATGTGAAACAACCAGACGCCATCATCTGATTAAATTATTTGGCTAACCTGCATCCCACCGTAAACGAGTTCGCGTCCAAGTTAGCAAGCTCGTTTTGCAGTTATCTACCTCATATTAGTTAGATACTTAAAATAGCGTTAATTTTTTTACATCATTAACCAGCAACGCAATCTGGAGACAAAATATCAACTGTAGGTGTAACTCAGACTAGACGGTCAAAACAAAAATGTTGTGTCTTCGCTCGTTACCACAGGCACAAAAGTCATAATTATGGCTAAACCTCGCCTATTTCTCTTCTTGAAATATGATGTTAAACCTTAATCCTAACCACACTGATAACCTTATGCCTACCCTTACGAAGACCAAAAAGCTCATGTTTGTTTTAATACATTTTTACGGCCATTTTGACTTTGTTGCTGTGGTAACTACGGATATTGCTAAAATATGATGAGCCTTTAAGGAGTTCACGCATGTACAGCTGTTCACGTAGCTAGCTGCTAGTGGAGTAGACAGACAGCTGAGCATGCATCCACAAAACTGAACATAAACTCGAGACAGATTTATCTAGACAAACCCAAACTAATGCAATTCTATAGATATACGATTGTATAATTTAAACGTGATGATTACATGCTAAGTTACCCACTATTTCAATTCAATTTCACAGCACCACGCTAGCCTAACCGTCACATCCGGTCCCTACCGCCTGGCCTGGACTAAAAAGAAACCAATCCATGTTCCTGAGACGTTAATCAAAATCACTTTTTATAAATTATATTATATTCACTGCACCATTCCGACAACTGATAGCAGTGATACGATTGTCAGCATCCTGCAAAGGTGAGGGTAACTCGCGTCTCTATTTCTGCTAAACAGATGAGAGTTTAGGGAGCGTCTGTATAATGTCTGAAACGTCGAGGTGCGTAGCTAGCTAGGGGTAGAGGCCTACCTACTAATTTCTAAGTATTGCATTTGTCTGTGTATAATCAACAAATTCTATTGATTTCACTATTCAATTATTATATCATATAGCCACATGTGTTGGTGTATTTGAAACTGTTCAACCCCTTGTGCAAATGTCCCATAAAGTGAATATCTAGCTAATAATGTACTTCATCTGAAGTCTGGACTATATATTATGAATGACTGATGATGCTATTGCATTTTCAAGAATGCTAATAGCCTAATGATAGTAATAGAAGTTACAGACAGTAACCTATTTTCTATCAGTTTTTGTGAATTTGTATCTGTTTTATGACCCTTTCAGCTCCATGACACTGATTCCAGTGTCCCTTGCATAGCAGCAATCTATTGTCAAGGGTGAGAAATGCATTCAAAGGTGAATAGCAACCATGCCCAACGGGTTTTGTCCTTTCTGAATGAGCAGAGGAGTCTCAGCTGGTTCTGTGATGCCAAGCTGACTGTAGGAGGAGGTGGGAGGGTGTACAACGGCCATCGCAATATCCTGGCCTGTTTCAGTGGGCGGTTCCAGGAGTCTGAGCCAACCACCACCATGGTTAAGGAGGTCTCCCTCCCAGAGGAGTGCCCCACTGATGGCCTGGAACTGCTTCTAGACTTTTTCTACACAGGGGAGTTAAAGCTTGACTCTCTGAATCTGGAGAATGTGCGACAGGCTGCAGACAGCCTATGTGTACCAGATGCGCTCGCACTTTGTCTGCAGTTTGCCACAGAAGGGATAGTCTCCCCAGAAGGACCGCAGTCTGCATATCTTCTGGCTGAAAATGATTGGCTCAATCTCAGCTGTAATTTATGTGGAAACCAAGGCCCCCCTAAAAAGGGGGAGGCCCCCTAAAAAAAGAGGGAGGCCCAAGAAATCCCAAACCCCTTGTAGTGGCTCAAGTAAGAAGGATTGTCCGGAAGCTACCGCCACCACAACTGCCATCACAACTCGCTCTGGGAGTAGGGTGAAGGCCTCCAGAAGACTGCTTGGAGAGGGCCCCAGCTTGCATCTCCTGCCCCATGGGGGGACCACTAGCAGGGGGACTCCACCACTAGTTATTAGCCTAAAGGATAGGAGTGATGGGGCTGTGGAGGAGGGACAAAGCCTCCCTCAGCCTACAGATATAACAGAGGTAGGCTACAATACATTACCTTATCCTAAAGTGTTAACGTAAGAATGAGTGTGGAGGGAATGTGCCTACAGATTTGTAGGTTTTATACTAGAACTATACAGTTGGCCTATACCTTACTACAAGCACTTAGGCTATAGCTACAATATGATGGATGATGCATCAAATACTGTCTCCCAGTTGCAGGTGGATGGGCCAGAAGATGGGATGAATGACAGTAAAGATGATGATTCATTGTATTTGATTATTTGACAGGTAACGGACGTGGTCGGCAGCCTTGTAGCAGATTTGAGCTACAAAGCTAATTCTCATCTGCAGCCTCTTGATGAAGAAGACTATGATGATGATGATGGCAGTGGTGGTGATTTGGTGGAGGGGGTAGATGAGGACACTGATGAAGACTATGTGCCCCATGCCCTGCCTTCTACCTCCTCCAGCCCCAAAGGCAGACGTAAAGGACCAGGAAAAGCTGTCAATAAAGAGAACGGTGAAGGGGAAGCCAAGGGGTCTACAAAGGGCTCTGTTCAGTGCCCCACCTGCAATAAGACCTTCCTCAGCAAGTACTACCTCAAAGTACACAACAGGTATATACATAGAGTGGCTTGCAAAACGATTCACCCCCCTTGGCATTTTTCCTATTTTGTTGCCTTACAACCTGGAATTAAAATGGATTTTTTGGGGGGGTTTGTAACATTTGATTTACACAACATGCCTACCACTTTGAAGATGCAAAATATATTTTTGTGAAACAAACAAGAAATAAGACAAAAAAACAGAACTTGAGCGTGCATAACTATTCACCCCCCCCCCCCAAAGTCAATACTTTGTAGAGCCACCTTTTGCAGCAATTACAACTGCAAGTCTCTTGGGGTATATCTCTATAAGCTTGGCATATCTAGCCATTGGGATTTTTGCCCACTCTTCAAAGCAAAACTGTTCCAGCTCCTTCAAGTTGGATGGGTTCCGCTGGTGTACAGCAATCTTTAGGTCATACCACAGATTCTCAATTGGATTGAGGTCTGGGCTTTGACTAAGCCATTCCAAGACATTTAAATGTTTCCCCTTAAACCACTCAAGTGTTGCTTTAGCAGGACAATGCTTAGGGTCATTGTCCTGCTGGAAGGTGAACCTCCGCCCAGGCTCAAATCTCTGGAAGTCTGAAACAGGTTTCCCTCAAGAATTTCCCTGTATTTAGCGCCATCCATCATTCCTTCAATTCTGACCAGTTTCCCAGTCCCTGACGATTAAAAACATCCCCACAGCATGATGCTGCCACCACCATGCTTCACTGTGGGATGGTGTTCTCAGGGTGATGAGAGGTGTTGGGTTTGCACCAGACATAGCGTTTTCCTTGATGGCCAAAAAGCTCAATTTTAGTCTCATCTGACCAGAGTACCTTCTTCCATATGTTTGGGGCGTCTCCCACATGCCTTTTGGCAAACACCAAACGTGTTTGCTTATTTTTTTCTTTAAGCAATGGCTTTTTTCTGGCCACTCTTCCATAAAGCCCAGCTCTGTGGAGTATATGGCTTAAAGTGGTCCTATGGACAGATACTCCAATCTCCGCTGTGGAGCTTTACAGCTCCTTCAGGGTTATCTTTGGTCTCTTTGTTGCCTCTCTGATTAATGCCCTCCTTGCCTGGTCCGTGAGTTTTGGTGTCCGGCCCTCTCTTGGCAGGTTTGTTGTGGTGCCATATTCTTTCCATTTTTTAATAATGGATTTAATGGTGCTCAGTGGGATGTTCAAAGTTTCGGATATCTAGATTGCACACAGGTGGACTTTATTTAACTAATTATGTGAGTTCTGAAGGTAATTGGTTGCACCAGATCTTATTTAGGGGCATCATAGCAAAGGGGGTGAATACATATGCACGCACCACTTTTCCGTTATTTATTTTTTTGTTTTTGAAACAAGTTATTTTTTTCATTTCACTTCACCAATTTGGACTATTTTGTGTATGTCCATTACATGAAATCCAAATAAAAATCAATTTAAATTACAGGTTGTAATGCAACAAAATAGGAAAAACGCCAAAGGGGATGAATACTTTTGCAAGGCACTGTAACTGCTATCATATTGTATTGACTTTGCCAATCACTATGTTTATATTAAACAACCTTTGTCTTTAAAGGTTTGTCCTATTTAGATAAACTTTTATTTTGCAAGAAAGACCTGATTAATGAAAAAGACAGGTATTATTGAATGACTAGTGTGAATAGTGTGTTTTCTGTTCTTCCTGTGTTCCCCAGGTGTCATACAGGTGAGATGCCCTTTCCATGCTCTAAGTGTGGAAAGAGGTACTACAGGAAGGAGAATTTGATGGACCACCAGGCCAGGAACTGCAACTGTAGTGAAAAAATAGAAGCGGTGAGTGACCAGCAGGACCAAGGCCAAGTTTCCTAGGCACCAAAAGGAAGGAAACTGAGCATAAAGGGGAGGGACTACATTGACTTGTCCAATAAGTAAGTAGTCTTGCACGAGCCTTGGCTTATGCAAGCTGGAACGGCTCATAGGGCAGGAGCCTATCTCCTGTTTCTGTAGCGTGAGGCAGCTTGATGTACAAGTACACCCCCTGGACCAGACGCTAGTCTATCGCAGGGCCTTACCCCCAGTCTATCTCCTTAATGCTGAGTGCCAAGTGGAGACTCATCAGGTCCCATTTTTACAGTCTTTGGTACGACTTGGCCAGGGATAGAACTCGCAACCTTCCAATCTCAGGACGGATATTCTAACCACAAGGCCACTGAGTTGTCCAATAAGAAATGTTCTTTTTCGTTTTCTGTGGCGAAACATTTTGCTACGGTGTACCCTAAGTGATACAATGCTTTAGGTTTTCCCTCATGTACTAAATATGTGTATTCTCGTTGTTACTACAGGTACACAACTGCCTTCAATGCCACATGTCATTTGACAGATTGGTGGATCTACGTCTGCACACCGTCTCCCATACAGGGGAAATGCCCAATAAGGTCCAGCACCTACCACCTCACACCCTTGAACAAGCACACAGTACTGTGAACATGTCATTAATTGACATTGTAAGACTTCTCTCTCTTATTATCGCTTGATCTTGTATCTATTTCAGTGTACGTCATGCTCGGAACAATTCATGCATAAAAAAGATTTGAGAAATCACGAAATCAAAATCCACGGTGCACCCAAACCACATGCAGTAAGTCTTCTCTCTCTCCTTTGTGTTAATTGGTCTGCCTTTTCATGTATTCAAACCTTTATTGCCTCTGCATTATTGTCAAGATTTATGACTGCTTGCTTGCTGATCACCTTCTGACCTGTGATAATACTTTTTCCCACAGTGCTCTCTGTGCAGCAAAGCCTACCTGTCTAAAACAGAGCTGCGTCTGCATGAGGCGTCCAAGCATCGCGGCGAGAAGCTCTTTGTGTGTGAGGAGTGTGACCATCGAGCCTCCAGCCGACACGGCCTGCAGATGCACATCAAAGCCATTCACAGGTGGGGCTGAGACTGGCTATTGTAGTGGAAGAGGGGTTTGTTACCATGGGGGAGCTAGGACTGTTTGACTCACCTGATATAGCCTTACTGTCATATAATGTGATGTGTTAAATAATGTGACGTCCCTGTTTGTCTTAATTTCTCAGAAACGAGCGTCCATTTGTGTGTGAGTACTGCAACCGTGCGTTCACCCAGAAGGCTAACCTGAACATACACCTACGGATTCACACTGGAGAGAAGCCCTATCAGTGCCACCTCTGTGGGAAGACCTTCCGGACACAGGGTAACAACTGCCTTCTGCCCGTCATCCTCTCACTAGGACCTGTAGATACAGAGCACAACGCACCCATTTCTAACAACAAACATAGCTGCACAGATGATATGGTATGATTTAGTCTCAAAGTAATCATTTAGATACACACAGGCTCTGTCTCACAGACTAACACAAACTCTCACATTAACATCCAGTGTGCTTTCACACTGTCTATTCCAATGCTCAACAATGTGCTTGTGCCAATGCTTATGTCTGTTCATTGTGTGATTTCAGCCAGTCTTGGCAAGCACCACCGCACCCACACGGGAGAGCGACCTTACAGCTGCGAGTTCTGTAACCAGCGCTTCACAGAGAAGGGCCCAATGCTCCGCCATGTCGCCAGCAAGCACCAGGACGACCGCCCTCACTGTTGCAAGATATGTAGCAAGACCTTCAAGGGTGAGAATGGCCACATGAGATCGTGGAATCACAGTTAAAATATTTTTTTTCCTGTCATGTTGAGTTTACGAAAAGCTTTGTAGTACTAAGATCTTTGCCTAAACCAGGTTTAAGATTATCATAGTGCTACAAAACGTTTGGGAATCTCACACCTAATCAATAGATTGCTTCCAGAAGCAATTCCATCCCGACTTCAGTTGAACAAGACAAGTTTATCGTATGTTTTCTTAATGTCTTGTTTATTCCGCTATCCTCTAGCGGTCGAGCAGCTCCACGTCCATGTGCGTCGCCATCAGGGCATGAGGAAGTTTGAGTGCCAAAAGTGTGGCTACAAGTTCACCAGACAGGTAGGCCATGCATTTCCAGTGTGCTAGCTTGGTTCCTCAAATTTCCATGCACGCTTACTGCTCACCCGGCCACTGAGGGGATCATTAAAGTTTTATTCAATTGAAATGTACACTGAAGTCTCTCCTATTTTTCTCCAGGCCCACTTAAGGCGTCATGTTCAGGTCCATACCCGTACAGAGAACTACAATCCACGTGAGAGAAAGCTACGGAACCTGATAGTAAAGGACGTGGGGTCGCAGGATGAGACTAGCCCCTCACAGACACCACCCACTGAGAAGGAGACACCCGAGGGGCCGGCACCTGTCTCTGGACCCAGTGTCCCGGTCTCTGGACCTATACCTGGACCTGGAACAGTACCAGGAGCCAGTGACATCCTCAGGGTGGTGATCAAGCCCCTGGTGGAGGAGGTGGGCTTTAACCAGGGCCAGGTTGGGGTGGCACAGGGACATGGCAAGGGTTTGGGTGTGATGGGGCATAGCTTCACTGTGACAGATGTGATGGAGCAGACTCTCCTGGTGGCAGATTATCCCATCCCTGAGACCACGGTGGAGCTGGAGGACATACAGGAGGACCCTCCTGCTAAGAGCAATGCCTGAGGACGGGACAGACTGGTTGGTATCTCACACCGCTAGAGCGGCTTGAGTACTGCAAGACTTCAAGAACTCCCACAGTGTGGCTACTCGCTCTGCAGTCAAAGCATTCACTTAATTTCAGTCATTATTGTAACCATGTTTTCTGTCCAAATTACTGTACAGAAGAACTGGAAGTTTCCACTCAGCCCAGTAGACTATGAAACCCCTCAAGATATTCCCCTACTCTGTGAACATCATATTCATTTTGTCTGTGCATTGGGTCTGGCAATGAACTACAACTTGGCTTAGGCTACTTAAGTTATTTTAAAGGTTTTATGAAGTTTGTTGTGTTTTTACACTGCAGCCTACATTAGACAAATCAAGTCAATAGGTCAGTTTGTGAGAAGAAGTGAATGTAAATCAATGGGATTGTCTTGTTTCATCAAGTAAAACGGTAAACAGAATAAAGTGGCAGTTTTATTGTAATCACACTAAGGATGACATCACTACAGTATACAAACACAACGCAAATATGAAAAACTATTTGACAACACAACTTGTTTGACAACTAAGAAAACACACAGCTGAATAGCATTACAGTAAGTAAACAATACTAAAATTAACTTTAGTCAAACACGTTGCACAAATAAATTGAGAATGTGTTCCCACCTCCAGTTATCATAACAGCGGTTGTTTCACCAGTATCTATCTTCATATGTACCTCTGCCTCCTGTTGCAAGAGAAAATAACCTCTAACATTATATGAACTAACACTACAAAAACATATACATTTTCATAAATAAATCTAAACCATTCGAATAAAATAATAAAGCACCTAAAATAAAATAAATGCATCTTGAAAGAAAATATGACCAGTACTTCATGCAGGCTAGATTGGTAGTCACGCCAATTAGGTCTGAAACAGTCAGTCCAGATGAGGGAGAGCAAAATGCTGATCAGAATCTGATAGAATCTATCATATAAATAGAATTAGGACACATCTATGGAATCCATAACTTTGTGGTTTTATCAACCCAGTCCCAGTTGCATCACATGCTCTGATTCCATCCTATGGTTCCATAGTAGTACAGCTCTGGACAAATCTCCAGATTAATTTCTCAACGCTCATCAAATCTGGTTAGTGCTAGAAAACATTGGTGGTTGTGTTAGCTTTTGGAATGTATGGGGTCATGCCATTGATTATGAGGGATGATGTTGGCTCTCACTCTAAACAACCGGGAAAACAACTCTGTCGTTAGTTGATTATGTAAAAAATAAAAATAAAAATATATATATATATATGTGTATGTGTGTGTATAAATTAAACCATAATCAAGACGATCTGCTACTGCCTGCCATAGATGTCCATGTATGGGCAGCTTGTGCTTTCCCCAACATGAGAACTTCATACCCAGCCAGTCTATTAGTCCAGTCAATAATATGCCCACTGATCATGATCAATGACAGTGTGGCAGGCAAGTTAATTACATGGGGATCACACAACTGCACACATGTTCAGTCACAGAAGCACAATATAATTACAGTCCCATAGTAATCACATCCATGCAGGATAATTTGATCACTGTAACCGCAGTGCACTGTAACATCTTTCCACCTTTTGATCTATAGCATCATAATGGAGGTATGTTTTCACTGTAAACCTAAAATGGCTGAAACAGTGGTCAGTATGATATTCCCTGACCCATTAGTCCATGGAGTGTGTTACACTGGGTTGACGTCATGGTTCTGGTTGAGGTTGTGGTTGTGCAGGGCCTGGTTGCGGTGGTGTCGGTGCAGGTGGATGGAGTTAGCCTCGGGCGGGTCGATGGGTTCGAAAGCGTTGGATACGGCGGGCATGAGCTGGCGGAAGATGCTGACACTGCCATGCCAGAAGGTGGGCTGGGGCAGGCGGCCTGCGGGGGTCCAGGTACGGGTGGATGGGTCGTAGGCCTCCACCACGTCAGACAGCTCAAACGTGTTGTCATAGCCACCAGACACGAAGAGACGACCACCCAGGACTGCCACACTGCCTCCTACATGGACCTGAAGAAGGAAACAGTGCATATTTTGATATAAATTCTATTGTAAAGGCTGAGGGGAAAATGTGGGAAGCCATAACACTAGCACCTTGTATGTGTCACATACCTGTGTCATGGGGCTGATCTTGTCCCATTCATTCTTCTGAGGGTTATAGATGTCGACCTCTGCAGAGTCATCCCTAGAAAGCAAGAATCTAGAGTGAGAAATGTCACGCCTAGCCTGTGTGGCTCAGTTGGTAGAGCATGGCGCTTGCAATGCTAGGGTTGTGGGTTTGAGTCACACGGGGGACAAGTATGAAGAAAAAAAAAAGAACTCGTATGCACTCAATCAGTGTTGTAGTACTCGAGACCGGTCTCGAGACCACATTGAGTGTCTCTGTCTTGTCTCTGATAACATTTTATTCAGTCTTGACTCGGTCTTGGACAATGAGGACTCGTAATTTATTCCCGAGTCCAGCCAAGACCAGGAGGATAAAACTCATTATCAGCCCCTATTCAGTCAGCACATGAATTCGCTTTGCCAGGCCAGATATCCACACTCCTTTCATGACACATTTTATATCTTATAGACTATTAAAACCTGGGCTCTTGGCTTTTCTCAAAACATTACTGTCCTTTACTTTTGTTGAAACATATCCTCAAACCTTGTCGCTCTCTTCGGAATTTCCTTGCTCCCCTAGAAGGGGAGACGGGGAAAGTGTTTGAGAGTTGTGCACTCTCAAATACTGTACATTTTGAGCTCTTATTATGGTGGTCTTGAATTGGACTCGCATTGTTCTGGTCTCGGTCTTGAATCGGACTCGTCCCGTTCTTGACTTGGTCTTGCCCTCCCCCCTCCGGTCTTGGTCTTGACTCTGTCTCGCTTTAGGTGGTCTCGAACACAACACTGCACTCAGTGCGGTTAGTTGCTCTGGATAAGAGCATCTGCTAAATGTAAAACCATATACCATACATCCTCCGTTTCTGTTTAACAGCTACAGCTGTCCTTAATATTAGGACAGAAGGATTAACCTCTATGTACTTCCACATTAATAGCAAGTTTATTTTTACCTCATCCCATTGAGAATTTAAAGTATTTTCAAATACTTTTTCACTGTCCCACATTCCTGTCCATATTTTCCTCACCTGACAAAGTAGATGAGCCCATTGAGAGTGACCGTCTTGGGAGCGAAGGACCACGGGGGCAGCTCGCCACAGTTGACCAGGGTCCAGCGGTTGGTGTCCACATCGTAACACTGTATGGCCATGTTGTCCTCCCCTGTGGTGGTCATGGAGCCGATGGCGTAGAGACGCCCCCTACAGGTGGTGGTGGAGCAGTTGTCCATGGCGTGCAGCATGGGGGGCAGGACCTCCCAGCAGTCAAGCGCGTGGTCGTAGCGCTCCGTGCTGTCTGGCGCCACCACGTACAGCTGACCCCTGAGGACACAGGAACTGTGGTACTCCCGGGCTTTGAGCATGGGCGACACCTCGGTCCACTCGTTGACGCTGGAGTTGTAGCGCCACACGCCGTCGTAGAGACGCGAGCCGTCAGATCCTCCTAGGGTGCAAAGGACAGGAGAGAGGTGTGTCAGAGATGGAAGAGATCCACAAAAGTCATGCTGTTCTTCACATGGTCAGGTTACAGCTAAGTGGTGCTAATTGAAACCCCATGCATCACCCTTGGCTGTTCTAGCAGTGAGGAAATCACCACTACGTCAACCAGACATGAGATATGGGGATCAGCTTTATGTGGAAGTGGACCTCCAGAATACAGTGCATTCGGAAAGTATTCAGACCCTGACTTTTTCCACTGTTGCGTTACAGCCTTAATCTAAAATTGATTAAATCGTTTTTTCCCCTCATCAATCTACACACAATACCCCATAATCACAAAGCTAAAACAGGTTTAGACATTTTTTACATTTATTAAAAAATTAAAAACATACCTTATTTGCATAAGTATTCAGACACTTTACTATGAGACTCGAAATTAAGCTCAGATGCATCCTGTTTCCATTGATCATCCTTGATGTTTTTACAACTTCATTAGAGTCCACCTGTGGTAAATGCTATTGATTGGACATGATTTGGACACCTGTCAATATAAAAGGTCCCACAGTTGAAAGTGCATGTCAGAGTAAAAACCAAGCTATGAGGTCGAAAGAATTGTGTAAATATCACATTTACATAAGTATTCAGACCCTTTACTCAGTACTTTGTTGAAGCACCTTTGGCAGCGATTACAGTCTCGAGTCTTCTTGGGTATGATGCTACAAGCTTGGCACACCTGTATTTGGGGAGTTTCTCCCATTCTTCTCTACAGATCCTCTCAAGCTCTGTCAGGTTGGATGGGGAGCGTCGCTGCACAGCTATTTTCAGGTCTCTCCAGAGATGTTCGATCGGGTTCAAGTCCGGGCTCTGGCTGGGCTACTCAAGGACATTCAGAGACTTGTCCCGAAGCCACTCCTGCATTGTCTTGGCTGTGTGCTTAGGGTCGTTGTCCTGATGGAAGGTGAACCTTCACCCCAGTCTGAGGTCCAGAGCGCTCTGGAGCAGGTTTTCATTAAGGATCTCTCTATACCTTTCTCCGTTCATCTTTCCCTCGATCCTGACTAGTCTCCCAGTCCCTGCCGCTGAAAAACATCCCCACAGCATGATGCAGCCACCACTATGCTTCACCTTAGGGATGGTGCCAGGTGTCCTCCAGACGTGATGCTTGGCATTCAGGTTCAATCTTGGTTTCATCAGACCAGAGAATCTTGTTTCTCATGGTCTGCGAGTCCTTTAGGTGCCTTTTTGGCAAACGCCAAGCGGGCTGTTGTGCCTTTTTACTGAGGAGGGGCTTCCGTCTGGCCACTCTAGCATAAAGACCTGATTGGTGGAGTGCTGCAGAGATGGTTGTTCTTCTGGAAGGTTCTCCCATCTCCACAGAGGATTCTGGAGCTCTGTCAGTGACCATCGGGTTCTTGGTCACCTCCCTGACAAGGCCCTTCTCCCCGGATTGCTCAGTTTGGCCGGGCGGCCAGCTCTAGAAAGAGTCTCGGTGGTTCCAAACTTCTTCCATTTTAAGAATGATGGAGGCCACTGTGTTCTTGGGGACCTTCAATGCTGCAGACATTTTTTGGTACCCTTCCCAAGATCTGTTCCTGGACACAATCCTGTCTCGGAGCTCTACGGATAAATCCTTCGACCTCATGGCTTGGTTTTTGCTCTGATGTGCACTGTCAACTGTGGGATCTTATTTAGATAGGTGTGTGCCTTTCCAAATCATGTCCAATCAATTGAATGTACCACAAGTGGACTCCAAGTCGTAAAAACATCAAGGATGATCAATGGAAACAGGATGCACCTGAGCTCTATTTCGAGTCACATAGCAAAGGGTCTGAATACATATGTAAATAAGGTATTTCGGTTTTTATTTTTAATATATTTGCAAAAATGTCTAAAAACCTGTTTTCGCTTTGTCATTATGGGGTATTGTGTGTAGATTAAGGAAAACATTTATTTAATCAATTTTAGAATAAGGCTGTAACGTAACAAAATGTGGAAAAAGGGGTCTGAATACTTTCCGAATGCACTGCTGATACAGAAACCCCAAACAGCAAGCTGAAGCATGCATCTTCATTTCAATACTTTAATACTTCTTTCAGTTTCCTCGCCATGTGCTGTACTCATATTCTATGTCTGTGTTGCAGCTGTAGCTTCACCTTGTAGGTGTAATGACAATATTGCCACAAGGACGTTGAATCAAAGGTACCCTATTAAATCAATCTGTCAGCATGAGGACACCTTTCATAACACTAGCCCATTCCCCAACCATGTGCCCTGTGCTGCAGCCACCTGCTCCTAAAGATCCTACTGCCAGTGGCTGTAAGGTATGAGAGCACTGCTAATGATTTATGACCCCCATCACTGTCCTGCCAGAATTACAGGGAGCGTGTGAGGGCCTGGGATGTTTTCTCAATGGAAACACTGTCTTTTCCTGATCCTGAAGGCCATTCGCTGATGATGATGGCCTCTCAGACAGACCTGGGTTCAAGTACTATTTAAAATAATTTAAAATAGGTTATCATTGCTTGATTTGAGCTTGCCTGGCTTAATTAATGGACCAATAGGATCGTCCCAAAATGGACAAAACTGCCAATCTGGCACTCCAGGCGTGTTCAAATACACTCTCAAAGTATATAAAAGATTTCAAATAGTATTTTAACCCAGGTCTGTCTCTCAGTGATGAGCCCACCGACCACTGCTGTAGTCTTGGCAGGACACCATGTTCCTCCCGCCTAGCTAGCTCACCTCAATGCTCCTCCCTCTCTCATATAGCCAGAGTGGCTGGCTGTGGTTTATTTATACTCACACTTATGTAAACTGCTGTCCGTTGTATATAAACACATCACACTAGATGTAGATTGTGTTTAAACATATAGCCCACAGTATAAAGAGATGCTGCTATATCCAGTAAAATCCAATACATTTTCTATCTTTTCACATGTATAAACTACCAATTACCCATCAATAATCCAATGTAAAGTATACCTTGATAAGTTGTGTTACCAAATATAAATAGTGTACAAGAATGTATCATGAGCATTGAAACCTACCTGTGACATACATATCGTTGCCCAGGGCAGCCATACTGTAGCCCCCTCCCAGGTGGTCGGGGAATTCAGCCAGGTAGCGCCACTGTCCAGTCTGAGGGTTATAACAGTCCACAGTGACAAGCTCGTCACAGTCCTGGTCACAGCCGCCCACCACCACCAGGATCTCAGCCAGGCCAGTGGAGGGCCTCGGCCGCATGCGTTGGCAGGGCCTGTCGTGCCGGTCGTATTCACACGACTGGAAACTCCGGGCCTCGCTCACCATTCTCAGGCAAGAGGGGGAGAGGTAAACCAGGGGGTCGCTCTCCACGTGGGCGAGTAGATAGAACCGACGCACAAAGGGTAGTCTGACCTGCTGCAGCAGCTCGGGCCAGTAGTGGAGCCGCCTCTGTAGGTCAGCTTTGACCCAGCGCACCGCGATCTGATAGGCCGTCTCCTCCTTGTCCACACACAGCGCATCGTCCGACACGAACTCCAGCAGCCGTTTCCAGGGCAACCGCTCAAAGTCCTTACCTTTGGCTAGGTCCACAATGTTCTTGAGGACGAAGCGGCGGGCACTGACGGCCAGGTCACGGCAGGCGTAGGCCTCGGCAAAGTCCTGGATCTCCAGGCAGTTGGAGACATCTAACCTCTGCTCCAAGAAGGCACAGCAGGCCTCTTTAACGGAGGGGAACTGGAACAGGTCGGCCGTCTTCAGCAGGAGGTCTACGTTATCCTGGGTGACTGTGACTCGGCCTGTATAACAGAAGTCCACCAGCAGGCCCAGTAGTTCAGCAGACACTTCGTGAAGGACCACGCTGTCCATGGCACTCTCTCTCAGCGTCCCGGCAAACATGGCCCTGAAGTAGGTGCTGGCTGCGGCCAACACAGTCCGGTGGCAGTGGAACTCGCGGCCCTCGGCGCAGAGCGTGACGTCAAAGAACTTGCGCTCTGCGCGGAGCTCGTGGATCCCCCGGAGCAGGTTGAAGGCGTGGGCTGTGTCGAAGAAGGGCAGCGTGGAGGGCTGTGTCTGTATGACTGGCTTCTCAGACATCACTTCTCTCTCCATCACTCCTCCCTCCATCTCTTTTGTCTGGATCTCTCGAAGAGGTTGTACTCAGAAGACTGGGTTCATTTGAAAACAGAAACACCATTTATAATTTCTGTTACAATCACTTCTAAATGGGTTCAGGTTCACTGATTCACAAACACTGTACCACACAATCTAAATATGCAGCCTACAAACCAAAATAACAACAACTAAATGAGCAACACTGTGTAGGTATTCAACAGAGTTAGCATTACAATTAGCAAGTTCAGCTACTTACAGAAACCTCTGGTATTTTCAATACAAATAACAACCAGCTGAATTACAGTAAAACCAAGGGTGAGGATCCCCTAACTGAAGAGCCCTACTGGGCGTGCTAGGTGGTAGAACAACACAAACAAGCAGTAGCCTGCCTTCTAGAAAGTAGGACTGTACACTGCACAGCTCCAGTGACTATGAGCAGTTCCCTGTCCATGTTTAAGAAAGAGAGCTCGCCTGTACTCTGGGTCTATAAATAAACCGGCAGGCATATCCCTGTCTGCCTACCGTACGTCCTCCTATCCGCCCCCATGAGTTAGTCGTCAAACTAGAGCCTGCCAGCCTGCCACTGGCCTGCTCACAGTCACCCTCAGACTCAAACACTGCACTTCCTGTCATAATACCTACAAATCAGCTTCCTAAAAACACCAGACAGACTAAATCAACCATCTGTTTTAATCAGGCCACACACAACAAATACCTCTACTTGACGAAGAAAAAGTCTTAGTTATTTGAAAACTGGTATTAACACTATTAAATCACTGCGTAATGCCACAATATAATGAGTGCTCCCTGGTTTCTCACTGAAAAGTTATAACCATCTGCTGTAATAAGGCCATACACATAGACATACCCCATCTTGACGAGCAGAGTCTCCGTTTCTCAATGTTACAATGTTGATTAAAAACTGTCAGTGTGTGTCATGACACCTGCAAGGTTCACTAGGCTAATTTAAAGAGAACTCCCGGGTTTCTCACTAAAAGCCATTTATTTTCAAAGGTTGCCATAGACTTGAATTAGCTGATTTTGATCAGTGTTATTCTGATCATCAATGTTATTCTACATATTATGACATTGGGGAGCTTCAACAACAACCAGTTATCTGAAGGGCAAGTAAAAACTGCAGGACTTTGACTGAAATAGGTACCGGTACTCGTGTTGGGTGCGGGTACTGTTTATATTTAGGTGCAGGAGCTCCACAATACCTTTGAGCTCATTTTCTATAAGAGGAACAGGAGCTTAAGCAGTAGAAAATGTGTGTGCTGGTACTCAGTTCCAGTGAGCTCCTGCCCAAGTCAAGCACTGGCTTCATGGCTGTTAAGTATCCAACAAGATTCCAGGTGGGATTACGGAATATTCATGCCTGCTTAAAATACACAGGTATGTCTTTACAGAGAATCTTCATAAAGGGCAAGGCAGCCATCTATCTCCTGGCCTTCTAAGGCAGAAAAAACAACAAGCTGACGAGCATTGAACCTCAGCTTAGCAGACAGCTCACATTCCTCACCAGGATTCAACAATGCAGCCAGTCGTTGGTCGGTCAACAGAGCCCTGTGAGCGATGAGCCAACTCCCGCCAAGGACAGAGTGGTCACCCTAAAGCAGGGATCATCAACTAGATTCAGCCGCGGGCAGATATATTTTGTTGCTTTTGAGCGGATGATCAGGGCGCCGGAACATACACTGACCAAAAATATAAACGAAACATGCAACAATTTCAAAGATTTTACTGAGTTACAGTTCATATATGGAAATCAGTCAATTGAAATATTCATTAGGCTCTAATCTATGTATTTCACATGAGTGGAAGTACAGATACCAGTCAGTATTTGGTGTGACCACCATTTGCCTCATGCAGCACGACACATCTCCTTTGCATAGAGTTGATCAGGCTGTTGATTGTGGCCTGTGGAATGTTGTCCCACTCTTCTTCAATGGCTGTGCGAAGTTGCTGGATATTGGCAGGAACTGGAACACGCTGTCGTACATGTTGATCCAGACAGAGCATCCCAAACATGCTCAATGGGTGACATATCTGGTGAGTATGCAGGCCATGGAAAAACTGGGACATTTTTAGCTTCCAGAAATTGTGTACAGATCCTTGCGACATGGGGCCGTGCATTATCATGCTGAAACATGAGGTGATGGCGGCGGATTAATGGCATGACAATGGGCCTCAGGATCTCATCACGGTATCTCTGTGCTTTCAAATTGCCATCGATAAAATGCAATTGTGTTCATTGTCCATAGCTTATGCCTGCCCATATCATAACCCTACCATGGGGCACTCTGTTTACAACGTTGACATAACAACGTTGAAACTGGGATTCATCCGTGAAGAGCACACTTCTCCAGCATGCCAGTGGCCATCGAAGGTGAGCATTTGCCTACTGAAGTCGGTTACAACACCGAACTGCAGTCAGGTCAAGACCCTGGTGAGGACGACGAGCACGCAGATGAGCTTCCCTGAGACAGTTTCTGACAGTTTGTGCAGAAATTCTTCGGTTGTGCAAACCCACCGTTTCATCAGCTGTCCGGATGGCTGGTCTCAGACCATCCCGCAGGTGAAGAAGCCGGATGTTGAGGTCCTGGGCTGGTGTGGTTACACGTGGTCTGCGGTTGTTAGGCCGGTTGGAGGTACTGCCAAATTCTTTAAAATGACGTTGGAGGCGGCTTATGGTAGAGAAATGAACATTCAATTCTCTGGCAACAGCTCTGGTGGACATTCCTGCAGTCAGCATGCCAATTGCACACTCCCTCAAAACTTGAGACATCTGTGGCATTGTGTTGTGTGACAAAACTGCACATTTTAGTGGCCTTTTATTGTCCCCCGCACAAGGTGCACCTTTGTAATGATCATGCTGTTAAATCAGCTTCTTGATATGCCACACCCATTAGGTGGATGGATTATCTAAGCAAAGGAGAAATGCTCACTAACAGGGATGTAAACAGATTTGTACACAACATTGGAGAGAAATAAGCTTTTTGTGCATATGGAAAATTTCTGGCCTCTTATTTCAGCTCAGGAAACATGGGACCAACACTTTACATGTTGCGTTTATGTTTTTGTTCAGTATAATTTCAAATAATTTGTAGACTGCAAATTGACCGCAAGAAGCCCAAACATATATAATATGTGACTAAAACAATCATTTCAAATCTTGCTTACATTTGTATATGGTCAGGTGTCTATCTGTTATGGTTGGGAATACTTGGGAACAGAGTTCCAAAATTAAAATCACTTGGAGCTGAGTTCCTCAAGTTTTTATAGTATTTTATGTCCAACAGTGAAAATAAAATAAAAAATACATTTTCTTTGTCATATAACTTGGGGGGCCAAATAAAACCACCTGCGGGGCAAATTCAGCCCGCAGGCCGCCAGTTGAGGAACCCTGCCCTAAAGGTTACTCTACAGAAGCAGGCCTGAAACCTGCTCTGGAGTCTTAACTGCTGCTGTTCCATACTCCTGGTTAAGTGATTATTTTAGGTTAAAAGGGATTATTGCATTTCCTTGCAGAAGGATCTGGATGATCAATTCTACATATGTTTATGAGGTCAATGTGTTAACTCATATGGTACAGTATTATTATACAAACCAACTACTGTAGTGCCTTTCTGGTTGTATATTAAATTGGATAATATCAATCCACACTAATAGTTATTCTTGCCCACATCTTGTGTGTAAGCCAGTATGATACCCTACTCTGTAACTGTAGATGAACAAAAACTGTCAAACTGACATATCGGGTTAGAACTAGATCAGTGGGTCACAACATAAAGAGTAGGTAAGTGATTCCCAAAGACCCGAGAGGGTTATTGAGCAACTTACGGGTAGTGTGTTTACCAACCTAAAGTAGCAGAGAGAAAGCCATAGCCTCACTCAAAGGGAGGGTGGGAGCAGATGTGGGTGGAAGGAGAGAGCAGAGATGGGTAGAAGGAGAGAGCAGAGGTGGGTGGACAAACTAGACGCTATGTCAGGACCGGGAGAGGAATACAGAGAGAGTAGTAGTGTGACCATCAGGCACCATATGACTAGAACCTACCCACCAAAAGAAAGCATCTTAGGTATATTGGCGAAGGCAGACTGATGCATGCCACTACCCTCACCACATTTCATAACAGTAGTAGCCTGTGTGACTGGCCCAGGAACTAGGAACTTGACTCATGCTCTATAGTTAAGGGGTTTCTCCAAGGAGGCCATACTCCCTAAGATAGGCCAAACATGGTCAGTCATAGTTGTTAATAAACAGCAAGTCATCATGTAATAGGACTATTTCCATTAGTCTTGGGTGGAAATGGGGAATGGCTGATGATGAGCTAAGCTTGGTAATAGAGTGGTAATAGATGAGTTGCTAGGTATAATTTCCTTCTAAATACACTATTTTACATCAATGAATGTAGGGTTGACAGTAGAGGAAAATGTCAGACCACGTGGTTTCTCAAGAAGATAGAAGAACAAGGCCTCACTTTCAGCCTGAAAGGCTTTATGCTCTTTTTCTAATATGGCTGAAGCTACAGGGTGAACATTTAAACAAAACGTTTAGTCCTCAAATGATATGAAAAGCTCCCAGAGAAGTAGGCTAAATTGTTCTCTATGAATGTGTAGCCTACAGCCAAAAGAGTCATTATGTTATAAAATGTGGTTTCAGAAAGTCCTCGAATCCAGCTATGGAATGTTTATTTGGAAGCTAGGCCTATTCTGTATACATGGATAGAGAACATCAAAACCAGACTGAACCGTTTTGCTTACAGCAGGTCCTTCTACTTGACTATTCAGCCAGAACAACAACAACAACAACAACAACATCTGTAGACCCCTGCTGATAGGACATGGTAAACACCAACTTAGTTACTCTCAGCTCAAAACCAAAACCATGGTTCCATAAAGTGCCTAGTCATCGCTTAAATGAGCCTCCACAGACACACAAAGACCCATTAAAAAGAAAGAACAGTGACTAAAAACCCAGGATGCATTCTAAAAAGTACTATCCACCAGCA